ATAGATAGATAGATAGATAGTCAGATGATAGATAGATAGATAGATAGATTATATAATAACATATAACTATAAATGTACAATTTGAAAATAACATTTCATAATTTTGACAATGTCTATAACTTTTCTTTTTTTTAAAACTTTTTTAAACTAAATTTCGATTTATAACGTATACACATACCATGTATATACATAAATGTGTGTGTGTGTGTTTCATAATTTTGACCTTTATGTCATAATTATGATATTTTTGGCAAATAATTTTAATACATAACACATATACACACACATACACATATATATTATAAGAACATATACAGTATAATATGATTTAATATACATGATATACATTATGTCTATCTACTGTATATCTATCTATATATCTATTTCTATATCTATATATCTATCTGTCTATCTATCTAAATATATACACATATATATATTTGATTAAAAACCATGAAAAACTTCCTATTTCCCACTTATGAAGAGCACATTGCATTCTTTTCTGTTAAAAATAACAGTGAACAGTGGTTTGTGAATGTTGATGCTTACCCTAAATAATTTTATTGGGTGTGTTCATGTGAACGCTACTGCAGTCTTAGGCCCATCCCAAATGCTCTCTATTATCTAATAATAATAATAATAAAAACTGCGTTAATGCGCGATATAATAATTGTCGGCGTTAATTAATTTAATTAATGCATTAATGCGATAATAACACGTTAACTTGCCAAGCCCTAATATATATATATATATATATATATATATAATAAATTACGTTTCTTTTTTTTTTTATATTTTAGGAAATGGATAATTCCGTGATATGGATACTTGTGGAACTATTTTTATACATCTAAAAGTTTGTATGCTTTGCTACATTTTGTGTCACGCCTAACAACCCCCATTAGCCATGGCAAAAATTCACCTTTTTGAGTGGCGGCTGGAAGAAATCTGAATCTCTGGAGTTCCCATCAGTGCTGCTGGTCTCACTGGCTTGATCACTGGGAGCTTCCCTATATATCACACACATAGAGATTATTATATGTGACCCTGGACCACAAAAGCAGTCTTAAGTCGCTGGGGAGAAAGCAGATCCACCATGGGGTTCTTCACTCCCTGGGTCACCATTGATTTCAGGCCTGAAAGATGCGAAGAAACAAACTCTATCAGAATAGAAAGACACAGAAGAGCCATTTAACACGGTCAGATGAAGTCAATAGTCCATGAAAGATTCCTTCGGACTTCATAAGATCTCAGAATACTGCATTAAGACTTAAACACTTCATGAAATGCAGTACCCTTCTCGTCCTGTTTGGCACACTCTGAGAAGATGTCCTGCTGGCCCGTGCTGATCCGGTCTCTGTGGAAGTAATGAGACTGAAAGAACCGCGTCCAGAACTCCTTCTCCGTCATGTTGTGAGGAACATTCTCAGCGTATTTCTGCTTGACTGCAATCAAAAGCAGAGAGAGACAGAAAAGGGTCATATTCAATACTTATAGCATTTTATTTGTCCTTAAAGATTGCTTATAATATAAGTCAGTGTTTGTAGCACAAAGCATATTAGGTTTTTTGTGAACTAAAACCATTTTTTGTGATTTAAAATAGGCTACTATACCTTTAAGACTACTATATGTAAATTACCTTTCCGTTATGATTGATTTGACCATCTTTTGGTCAAATTCTAACAGCATTACATGTATTCGTCAAGGAGAAGGCAATACCAGAATTATAACCATAATTATGACGTACAAATAGGGTTGCAAAGGGGTGGAAAATTTTCGGCAAATTTCCGGAAACTTTCGAAAAATCCCTGGAATATTCCTAAAAATCACGGAAAGTTTCCAAAATTTCTGGAATATTTCCAAAATTTACTGGAAATTTTCCACCTTTTTGCAACCCTACGTACAAAGTCATAGTTATTACATAAAAGTCACATTCATTTATAAAGTACTACACCATAGAAATTATGAGATACTAACTCATAATTATGAGATTAAAAAAATCCAAATTATGGCATAAAAATTTAAATTATGAGATTAAAAAAAAAAAATCACAATTATCATTATGACATAAAAGTCCAAATTATGAAATAAAACCAATTCTGAGTTAAAAAAATTAAACTGAAAGATTAAATGTCAAAATTATGGGTTAAAAATCATTACGCCACAAAATGAAATTATAAGATAAAGTCGTAATTATGAGATAAAAATCATAATTAAAACAAAAGTTGAAATTATAAAATAAATGTTGCGATTAAGGTTGAAATTGAGATAAAAAGTCAAAATACGGACATAAAAACAATTATGAGATAAAGTCAAATTTAAGAATTATAAAGTCAAAATTATGATACAAAAAGTCATCATTATGACAGACGGAATTATAACAAAGGCAAAATTATGAGAAAAAGTCATCATTATGAGATAGAAAGTAAGTAATTATGTCAAAGTTAAGACTATTACAAAAAAATATACATATGACAAAACCTATATAATGGTTATGTCATATTTATGAATTTATCAAACATTTCTTATCAATGTTGAAAACAGTCTGTGCTGCTTTATATTTCTGAGGAAACCATGATACATTTTTTTCAGGATTATTTGATGAATAAAGAGTTCAAAAGAAAAGCATTTATTTTAATCAGAAATGTATATTATAAAGATCTTTACCGTTACTTTTGATTAATTTAATGCACATTTGCTGAATAAAAGTATTAATAGAAGTGCTACATAGATACACAGACAGACAGACAGACAGATAGATAGATAGACATAGATAGATAGATAGATAGATAGATAGACAGAAAGATAGATAGATAGTCAGATGATAGATAGATAGATAGTCAGATGATAGATAGATAGATAGTCAGATGATAGATAGATAGATAGTCAGATGATAGATAGATAGATAGATAGACAGACAGACAGACAGATAGATATTGCGTTTTGCAATATATATAACATCATATTTACTAAATTGCAAAACAATATATTTTGTATTATTTGTAACATAATTTATATATAAACAAGTTGTTTCAAAGTGTTTTAATAATATTTAGCAGTTCTTCATAGGAGTGAGCAGAAACTGCTGCGCTTTTTTGCCACAAATGTCATTTCCATGGCAACAGTGACTACTGTTTCTACATTAGCATCACTGAACAAGCTCAGTGCTCATGGTAGGTCTGTCTTAAGAGTAACCTACTTTTACTCTATTAATCCATGCATAATATTTTATGCATGGATTCCATAGTATTTTAGCATGTCAAAAGTCACACTTGTAGTCCCAAAAGAGGTTGTAGAGGCTGAAATCTGAGTGAAACTCACAGCGGATGTCGGCGTACAGGTGGCTGACTGTGAAGCGGTCCTTCCCTTCCGGACCCCAGGCGATCCGCTCGGCCATCAGGTACAGAGTCCCGTCCTGCTTCCTCTGACGGACCCTCTTCATCACCAACAACCCCTCCTCGGACAGAGACGCCATGGCTACAGAAAGAAAGAGAACAATCTGATTAATAAAGCAGGACACTGAGATCAGAGATTTATTGATAGCTCATCACATCATTTTAAAACCCATTAGAAACCTGGGCAGGGCTGTGAACAAGAGTGTGGAGTTAGTTTACAGCTCTCAATACACACAAAAACATGCAGAAAAAAATATTTTACATCAGAAGACCAGATTTAAACAGCCATTAATCAGATTCAGAACAGACATCAAATCATATCCATATCAGATTTGACAAAACATTAAGATCAGATTCGGATTAGATCAGATATGACAGATTCAGATTGAGACCGGATATTAAATAATATTAAGAATCGGAACAGACGAGATATTAAACCAGATATGATTCAGATCAGACTCAGAATGTAGATGAAATCAGATTAGGATCCGATCAGATTCAATTTAAGACCTGACATTAAATTCAATTCAGAATCAGATCAGAGCAGATATTAAATCAGATATGAGAACAGATGCAGACCAGACTCAGAATAGAAACCAGATTAGGATCAGTTTAAGACCTAATATTACATCACTTTCTGAATCAAGAACAGACATTAAAGCAAACATTACAATAAATTCAGATTAGACTCAGAATAGAAATGTAATCAGATCAGACAGATTCAAAATAACAGTTATTAAACCAGATTCAGACTTGAATCTCCACTGGAGCTAACAGCACTAGCACACATCTTCTTTCCAAAAACCTTTACTAAAGTCAATAAACTGAGACTCATTTGCAGTATATGAAAACGGCTGAGACCGTTTAAACATAACAAAACACATTTAAAGGTGATGAATCTGAAATCTGCACCTAAAAGCCGAACTCACGCACACAGCCGGAGACTTTAATTAAAGTGCTTTATTTGAATACAATAACCCCTCACCTGGCGCTCCAAGGCCGCTGAAGCCGAAGCCTCAATATTGATCTTGTGGTAAGCGGGGTGAAATCAGTGTAAATGACAATATTTGTTTTATTTACAGTCGTTACGGACACCGTGAGTGACAGCAGCCCTCAGATCCGCCGCCATAGAAACAGAGTGAAGCCAGAAACCCTGGCGCGCGTCCTTTTAATGGCTGCCAAACGGAATCGATTTCAAAATTAAAGTCCGGTAAATAGTTTCAGGTTTTATAATAAATATAATATAATATAATATAATATAATATAATAACATGCTCGTATTCCAATCATAAAACTTTTATTATAGATTTAATTTTATTTTTGAACACAACATTACTTTTATTTTGACAGAAGACAGCGCTCTTGTTCCGACTTTCCGACGTTCCTAATTGTTGCTGATGGAACTTACTTGCAACTGTCCACACATGAAAGCAAGTGATAGTTCTTAATGTGAAGCGGGATAGGTCAATGAATTGGTTTGGCTTTGGTTTCGATGGCTTTGGCCAGATAAGGCCGGCAGATGTGAGTGGACAGGTGTGGTGTAAAGTGAGCACACCTGTCCTGATATCAGATGTGTGCAGATCAGACTGTAGTAGAGTCCGAGTCAGAGCCAGCTGGAGCTCCAGAGCTGATGTGCATCATACAGACTGTAAGTAAACTATGAGTAACCAAATCATTCGCTTACTATGTTTTTCTACAATATTAGTCACATTACTAATCTTACTATTTCTGATCTATAATGTAATAAAATAAATTACCTTAAAATGTACATAATTTGTACAATATTCTAATAAATAATAAAATAACTTACTTAAATTTGCATTATATATATATAGAGAGAGAGAGAGAGAGAGATTTTGTTTCGTGCATATTACTGACATACATTTTTTTCATATTCTTTGCTTACATTATGAAATAAAATAAAACAATACAATAACTTTAAATTTACATACAATATTTGTACAATAGTTTGTACAGTATTAGTCACATTTTACACATGATTTACGTATTACTGTTTCTATAATAAAATTAGAATCATTTAAATTCAAATAATAATAAAATAAATTTACATAGTATTAGTTAACATAAACCAATTAAAATATTTATTAGTCTTGGTTCATGTTCATTTCAGAATTTACTAATACAATCTTAAAATCAAAAGTTGTGTCTTTTAATGTTATTTAACAGACCTGAGCTGGCATGATCTAAAAATTTTATTTTCATTAACCAGTATTTACAAAGATGAATATATGCTGTAACAGATGTAGTGCTCATTGTTTGTTAATGTTAGTTGTAGTTAGACCTTAAAGTGTTACCAAAAATAATATTATATTAATTGTAGAACTAATCTGCATTTATGGGTGAGTCTCACAAAACCTGTCAATAACAGGTCATATTTCAGATTATAAATAAGAAAATTAAGCATATTTTTACATTTGTTTTAATGACAATTAAGTATATTTTATTAGAAATTCTCATTACTCTAACAGTGTTATTGTAGCCTAAAACTATTAAAAATCATTTTCAGTTATTAAAAATAAAAATAAAATAAACTGTAAAGATGAAAAACGTAAACAGAACATAACATAAATTTGGCATGGCAACTAACTGAAATAAAATATGTTTACGTTAAAGTACTACAATTACGAAAATTAAAACTGAAAAAATTTTTTGATTAAAGCTAAATAGAAATATTGAATAAAAATGACAAAAGCACATAAAATTTACGTTTGAATACTACATTTACTAAAATTAAAACAAAGTAAATAAATGTATTGTTGTAATGCAAAAAGGTATGTGTGTATATATACACACACACACACACACATATATGTATAATTATTATTATTAATAATATATTTTATTATTTAAATTGTAAAGCATTTATATTTATCATCATGGCAGTATTTTTTGTCCTGCCTCTAATTTATGCTTATTGTGAAAATTCATTGCATTACAATAATATTTTCTGTAAAATAGAACTGAAGAGTGTTTTTAAGCGGATGTTTTGTCAGTCATGGTCAGCTGGGTCACGGCGCTCTGGCATCACAGGAGGAACCTCAGGTAGTGGAGGCGCTGTGGGGCGTCCCGATCAGAGCAGTGTCTGCTGGGAGCTGGCACTCCGCTTCCGTCAGCGGTAAGCTTTTTCCTGAAACTTTCGTGATCAAATTCAGCCATTTGGTTGCTCATACTAATATACAGAGTGTTCATTTGAAATATGTTTATTGTGTTTAGCTGGTGGGGACCTGTATATGTGGGGATGGAATGAAAGCGGGCAGCTCGGCCTGCCATCTAGAGGCCTGGAGGAGGAACAGCTCAGAGGAAAAAGCAGTGGTAAAATGACTACATATGTGACCCTGGACCACAAAACCAGTCATAAGGGTCAATTTTTTAAAATCGAGATTTATACGTCATCTCAAAGTTGAATAAATACGCTTTCCATTGATGTATGGTTTGTTAGGATAGGACAATATTTGGCCGAGATACAACTATTTGAAAATCCGGAATCTGAGGGTGCAAAAAAATCTAAATATTGAGAAAATCGCCTTTAAAGTTGTCCAAATGAAGTTCTTAGCAATGCATATTACTAATCAAAAATTAAGTTTTGATATATTTACAGTAGGAAATTTACAGAATATCTTCATGGAACATGATCTTTACTTAATATCCTAATGATTTTTGGCATAAAAGAAAAATCGATAATTTTTACCCATACAATGTATTGTTGGCTATTGCTACAAATATACCCCAGAGACTTAAGACTGCTTTTGTGCTCCAGGGTCACATATATGACTTTACATATGAATGTATTACTACACAGCTACATGGTTCTGTTACTGTGCAGGAAACACTGAGAAGCCCATAAATGAAGATGAAAAGAAGGAAGCAGATGTGTTTATTTCTATTCAAGCGTTGCCAGCTCTAGTGGACGTCCCTAATGTGTCAGAGATCAGCAGGATCAGCTGTGGATCCCGTCATACAGCGGCCGTCACCGGTGAGATCCAGATCTGATCACTGCAGCATAAACAGGACTCAACTCAAGAATCCGCTAGTTGACAAAAAAAATGTATTACATTTATTCTTTTTTTATTTGTAGGTACAGGGGATCTGTACACCTGGGGATGGGGTAAGAGTTTGCTTCGTTTTCTAGAAATAAATCAATGTAAATATTCTCTCATGCATTTGTGCATTAAAGGAATAGGTCATTCAAAAATGAAAGTTTGCTGAAAATGTACTCACCCTTAGGCCAGATGAGTTTTTTTTCCTCATCAGATTTGGAGAAATGTAGCATTCCATCACTTGTTCATCAATGGATCCTCTGCAGTGAATGGGTGCCGTCAGAATGAGAGTCCAAACAGCTGATTAAAAACATCACAATAATCCACAAGTAATCCAGTGAAAAAGTCTGTCCTTTTATCCTCTCACATCAAAATCTACCGACTTGTTTGTTTAGATCTACTTTTAAACTGTGCTTGATCTGTGCAGATTTCTCTCCTGATTCAGATGAGATGTTTTTTTCAATGGAGAAAGAAAATTGATGGATTATGGGCCCATATTTTACCTGAAAGAAACAGTTTGAAGTCAGTGTTAATGATGAGTATTTGTTTCTTTCAAACACAGTTTTACAAGATGTTAACTGATGGACTGGATTGGTGTGGATTACTTGTGATGTTTTTATCAGCTGTTTGGACTCTCATTCTGACGGCACCCATTCACATCCATTGGTGAGCAAGTGATGTAATGCTACATTTCTCCAAACCTGTTCCCATGAAGAAACAAAATCATGTACACCTTGGATGGTCTGAGAGTGAGTACATTTTCAGCAAATTTGGGTGACCTATTCCTTTAATTTCTTTCTTTAAAAAAATGATACTGAGCCCAAACTGTTAAAAGGTAAAGTGTGGTAATTGTTATTTCAAAAGTGCTAAAAGTTGCCTTTTCTCTGTCGGTGTCATATTATTAGGCCATTATGGACAGCTGGGACATGGCACTGAAAATAGCACAGATGAGCCAACACTGGTGGATTACTTCCCTAGCCATCGAATGTGTGTTAAGGATGTCATTTGTGGGTTATGGAACACTTTTGTGTCCGCTGTGCCAAAAGAACAACCTCCATCCTGACTGGAATAGACTCTTTCAGAGTGTCCTATAAATACAGGGATGTCAAAGTTGCAGAATTAGAGTTTATTAAATTAGGTACAAATATATGATCCAAAATACAGGATAGAAAGTAGATTTTTTTAACAGAGTAAGTAAAAATGTTTTCATTATAAATGGTAGAAATACTGAGTAAGAATATACATTCACAATTAGGACACTACATTACTGACAGATCAAAGGCGCAGGTGAAAGATCCGGACCGGAAAGCAGCTTCCATTCTGTGTAAACTTCACAACACAATCTTGAATGAACTGCAAAAGAACATTCGCAGTCAATGAGGAGAAATGCTGCCTTCAAGTCTTAAGAAGGTCATACTTATTAGATCGGAAGTTGTAATTATGATGTGATTTTGGTCAGAATAAATTTGTAATTTTGGGCAATTTCATATTTTTTCCTCACTTTTTCACCTCTCAAATTTTTCACTAACACAAAATTATAAAGTGCAATATGTGATTCAGGTGTATAATTGATGCTTTATGCATTTTATAATTATTGTGCTGCAACAAAGAATGATGGGAAATGTAATTTAGTCATGTAAGCCAAATAAAATATAAATATTAGATGAAAAACTTAAATGAAAATTAATCAACAAATGGAAATGTTGCCTTGGCAACTAACTTTACTAAATAAGCTGAAGTACTACAATTACTAAAATCAAAACTGCAATTAAAATGACTCATAATGATGAATTATTAAATAAAGCTATATAGAAATATTTAAAAAACTAATACAAATGACAAAAGCACTTAGAATTACTCAAACCTAAACTAAAATTAGAACTGAAAATATAACAAATAAAAACTAATTCAAAATATTTATAAATATTCTAAAAATGTTATATTATATTATTATTACTAAAGGTAAAACTAATGAAACTTAATAATAAAATTAATTACTAAAACTAAAATAAAAACTGAAAATATAAAAAGCTAATTCAAAATATTAATAAAAACATATATATATATATGCATGCATAAGTCGGCTAAATTTGTTACATTATTAAATTAATTAATAAAATTAATGAACAAAGTTATATAGAAATATTTTTTTAATTTAATAGAAATCACAAAAACAACAAAATTACTCAAATATAAACTGAATATATAAAAAGCTAATTCAAAATATTAATACAAATTATATATATATATATATATATATTAGTCGGCTAAATTTGTCAAGCTATCAAGTTGAAATAATAATTCAATAATTTAATAATTACATTTCTAAAAGCTATATAGAAAACTAATATAACATAAAAACTAATAACATTCAACAAAATTACTTAAACTAATATGAAAAATAAACACACACGTAAAGTTTCATCGCCATTCCTCAACTGTTCAATAAATAATATGAAAAAACTAAACTGTACAGTAAACATTCACAAGTGAAACTTAATTAGACTGAAGGCAGCAAAATATATGTCAAATACATGTCACTTTTTAAATAAAAAGCAAAATTCTGTCACCTGACAAAATCTGGAGATCTGGAGATGACATGCTGAAATTCTGAGAGATTGACTGTGCCGTCCTTATCAATGTCTGACTCCTCCAGGATCTGCACAATTACATGTGTTTACATTAGTAAAGTTCATCTGGCAGATGTCTCTCATTGATGTGATGTATATCCAGCACACTCACATTGCTTATGAGCTGTCTCATCTCCTCTCCCGTCAGACGGGTGTCATCCGTCTCGCCAGTCAGAGAGTTCACCAGCTTCTCCAGGTCTCTAGCATCAAGAGTCCCGTCATCGTCAAAGTCTGCAGCATAAGAAGTGTTAATAACGAGTGCTGTCTGATATTGCTGTTGTGTTAAACGTCAATATTGAGGACAATCCATCCACTACCAAAGATTCGGAAAGCGTAGTGGGACTTGATTTCCAGGGTCGCCGAATCGCTGAAGGCACTCAAGAGGTCCAGGAAATCCTCAAAGCTCAAGCTGCCATCCTTCATGTCAGAGGTCGAGAAGACGTGACATATCCTTTTCCGGAAGGGGTTAGACTGTGACAGCCAACAAAAACACAGAATATAGTCAGAAGTCAGAATATATACAGCTGAATGGCTGAATCTGGAAGGATTAGAAGATATTTTGCTTAAAGAAACTTGACAGAAACATTAGGGTTTTTGCATTGTGACTGCAGTACAGACTTCGGGCTCTATTTTAACGATCTAAGCGCATGGCGCAGGTGCACTTAGGGCGTGTCCAAATCCACGTTTGCTAGTTTAACCATGGGAAAAAATGGCCGGCGCGCCAGGCGCATGGTCTAAAAAAGGGTTGCACCTATTCTCTTGATGAGTCATGGGTGTGTTTTGGGCATAACGTGCAATAAACCAATCAGAGTCTCATCTCCCATTCCCTCTAAAAGCCAGTTGCACTTGCACCATGGCGGATTCGCTATTTATTTACACAGCTGAATTTGCAAGCGCAAAGACTGAACGCGTGCGTCTCCAGAGAGGAAACGGATCTGCTCGAAGCGGATCGAGGAATCGACAATAATACACAATAATAATCTTTTACATTGTAATCCTTTCATTTTTTATATTTGGCATGTTTGTGTGCTGCTGCGCTTCCCTGTGTGTGTACTAAGCAGTTGTGGACCCGCCTATAGGCGCATATTACTAACGCGCTCTTTAATTAACAAAAAAATATATATATTGCACCATTGACTTTAGACTAGGTTTTAGCTGGTCAATGGCGCAGTCTATTTCAGTTGCCTCAAAATAGCAACGAGCCAACAATGCGCCTGAACACACCTGGTTTTCAGACCAGCACGCCCACGAGCGCACAAATGGGCACAAATGCATTTGCCTTTTAAACAACGTGGTGCAGGACTTGAAAATGATAACTGCATCGGGCTGAAACTAGCAAAAAACACTTGCGCCGTGCCGCATTGCGCCGGGTGTATGATACGGCCCTTTATCTGTTACCTTCAGTTCTGGAAGAGTGTGGATCTTCTCCATGGACACCCTGGAGCTGTACGGTCCATTTTCTCTGTCCTGCAGCTCAGAGAATATTTTGTGTGCCCTAAACAAACACATTGATGATGAGCCCCAAAAGTCTATAATGTAATGACATTCAAAAAATGTTTAAGTATTAGGTAATATACAGTTTCAGTAACTAAACTACTGTACATTTGTGTAGTTTAGCTATCGACACAACGACAAATCCACTTTACAGGGAATGCCAAGGCAAAATGTACCATGGTTGAGATGATGTACGTGTGAAAAGGCAATAATAAAAATAATATTTGAAAAAAAATGGTTGGTAAATGAAATTAAGCTAAAATAAATTATTGATGTTAGATGAAAAAATTGAAAGGAAAATTAGAAATGTTGTATTGGCAAATAAAATAAGTTGAAGTACTACAATTAACAACACTAAAATTGAAATAAAAATAAATTGGAGCTAAATAGAATTATTTAAAATGTTGAACTGCAAATAAATTAAGTACTACAGATACTAAAAAAATTTGGTTAAACAGAAATATTCAACTAAAACTAAAATTATAATGAAAAATATAATAAGCTCATTCAAAGTATTGATAAATACTATACTATAAATAATAAAAAATAACCCTGCAATAAATCAGCCTGTCAAGTTTTATCGCTATTCCTCACCTGAACACAAAATAATAAGAAACAAACTAAACTGTACAGTCAATATTCACAACTTCCCCCAAGGAAGAGGGAACATATTTCACCAGTGTTGATCTCTCTCCACTGGCTCCCAGTTAAATATCGTATCCATTTTAAAACATTATTGTTTGTTTATAAGGGTTTCCATGGACTGGCTCCATCATATATCTCCGATATCCTTCTGTTCCATCATAATGCATCCAGGGAACTTCGATCAACTAGTAGTCTTAGGTTGACTGTTCCAAGGACACACTTGAAATCGAAAGGAGATCGTGCCTTTTCAGTGGCTGCTCCACAGCTATGGAACAAGTTGCCACCCTATATAAGAACTGCACCAACATATGCTGATTTTAAGTCTCTTCTTAAAACTTATTTATTTACTGTTGCTTATGGTCATAAGCAAGAGCAGTGGCATAACTGTAGTGTACTATCTTTCGCTGTGTTCTATGTTTACTTTTGTATTTTTGTTATATGCTTAAATTTTGTACAGCACTTTGGCCAACAGCTGTTGTTTTTAAATGTGCTCTATAAATAAATATGACTGACTGACTGACTGACTGACATTCTAACTTCAAATGTAATAATCCATGGGCTTTCAAGCTTTTTGATTCCAAAGACCACCAAATATTATGATCCCTTTGTGATGATGCCATTCTAAAATATAAAGCTATAAAACAAAGATTGAAAGGAGAAACTCCATTGAAAGATACAGCAAATGTACAAACAACTCTTGAAGCAATGTGTCTCAAAAAAAAAAAAGAGCGCAATATATCTCCCCCATCAACAGAATTAAATGTCGTTGTGTTCTATGTTTACTTTTGTATTTTGTTATATGCTTAATTTTGTACAGCACTTTGGCCAACAGCTGTTGTTTTTAAATGTGCTTTATAAATAAATATGACTGACTGACTGACACAATTAAAACTTAGCTACACTGAAAGCAGCAAAGCATAACAGGAAATATTTTTTCAATAACGTCACGTGTGCACAAGTGTAAGTACATCGTGACTTTACTTACATTAAGATTTCTTGCTTTGTGAGAAATGTGAGCTCCTGTGTAAGCAAAAACGAACAGTTATAAACAAATAAAAGCAACTCATCGCTATATAGTAGACAGAATAAATATTCAATAAATAAACATATTTACAAACATATTTAAATAATATTACATATAAATATATAATTTTTTTAATTGACATTATCTATCTATCTATCTATCTGACTATCTATCTATCTATCTGACTATCTATCTATCTATCTATCTATCTATCTCTCACCTGATACTCTGATAGAAGATCTTTCGGTAACTTGCTCGATGTTCCCCCCATTACCACCTGCTTTTGT